AGAGAGAGAGAGAGAGAGAGAGAGAGAGAGAGAGAGAGAGAGAGAGAAAAGAAAAGATTCGACTGTATTAAGACGAACATTAGCATATTAAAGACGATTTGAACGACGAGTTTTGGCCCCACAATTTCGCTTTTCTTTCGTACACTTTTCCGATTCACAATCACATAATGCGAAGAAAGTTCTTCTGTGCACACGTTATTATCCGGGCATTTTCAAGATCAAAAGTGATTGTTGTAATCTGAATTAAAAGCTCAATTGAATCGAGTGCGCGCCATACTTTCTTTCTTTGTCGTTTTGCCTTTTGTGTTGCATGGCACAAGTGAGAGTGGCGAACGTAGAAAAGCTCGTAAGAGATCTTAACGATTGAAATTGTTGCATTAAACATTATACAATACTATAGACACATACAAAATGTGTGTCGGCTGCTCTTACTACTGCCGTTGCCTGCTTCGTATTATGACGGTATAGCAAATGCGAGAGTCTCGCTCGCTCGATTGTTCCGTAACTAAGTGCAGAATGAAGCCCAAAAGAAAGGAAATTAATGGCGAGCGAACGAGAGCAAAGTTGTGGGAAAATTGAAAATAAGTGAGTGTGTGTACAATGCGCTTGGCAAAACGTGTGCGCTTTAATACTGTGAGCTCTCTATTGGCAAAACGCTCTCTGAATGTAACATACACTGTCGAAAAGTGTTTGCCCCGTTTCCATTTTATTTAATTTTGCAGTCTTGTGTGTAACTCGATGCTTGACGTCTTCTTTGTTTCGTTGCTCTCACTTCCATTTTTCCATATTATTGTTGTTTGAGATCGTAGTTGAAATACTGTATAGTGGATGTGTGTATGGGTATGTTCTCGAACAGTAACCGAATTTTGGGCAATGAGAGAATTTGTTATAGCTTTGTGATAATGATTTTCACATCGAATCGTCACTGATTTCATCCCGAACCGACTACCAAAGGTAATTGTATTAAAAGCCTTTAATACCTTTGATGCAGTGGAATTTTCACCACTCCTTTCCCGGGTGGCTGTTGCGGGAAAGTGGAAGGGAAGGGCGGCCTCCCAAGACCTTCTACCATTTGTCCTGCGGACATTAATTGCTTACTGTCTGTGAGTTTTGCTTGAACTGAAATTTGTTATTAAACAGAATCCATTTGTGCTGTTTTCAGTGCCAAGCACACACAATGTATTCCAAAAGCGCATCGAAATGTGTTAGAATTAAAACCGAAATCCATTCCGAATTGTATTCAAATGAATATCCTCCCCCATTAAAATATCATTCACTGAATATTCAATGGGGTTGTATCCATTGATGTACACGTTTTCTTAAAATGTGTTCCATGATTTAGCTGAATCAACAAGTTTGGAATGACAAAGAAGTTCCACGAAACGATGAATGATGATTTTTTTCGGGCTTGACGCGTTTCCAGCTGGAAAAATGTATGACAATAGCAATGACAAAGTAGAAAATGAGTGCATTTGTGAGTTGCCATTGTTTTTTTCTTCGTTCTTTCTCCCTTTTTATTCTTCTTGTCAGCGTCAATCGCATTTGACATTGATTTTTTGCGAATAAAGAGATGTCGTCATACAGTTTAAAGTACTCAACGATAATAATGAGACTTCTATCGAAAATAGATCTGATGTACTGTTGCCGATTCGAATTCGAAAGTAGATACCAAATCTCTTTGATCTTTGTTTCTATTCTCTTATTGAAAGTGTTAAAACGTACTCCGTTCACACTCTGTCCTAGCTGTGCACGCGAAAGAGAGAGAAAAAGAATGGAGAAATAGAGAGAGCCTCATTCATATTCCGAGTGAATCCGTTGTTTTTGCCACTGAGGAGACAAATGGTTCGTGTTTGTATATGGATGTGCGCGTTCGCGGAACAAACGTACAAAAGGCTTGATAAATCAAAGCAAATTTGAAATCACGAAGTAGGAGACACTTTACCCGAATAATATTTAAATGTGTTTATTCGGATTTTTTCTTCTTCTTCTTCTTCTTTCGCTCTACTCTTTTGCACTGCCTCTCGTCAGATTTTCAATCACCTTTGAGCTGATCTAAACTGACAAGTTACGTTGTGTGCAAGGCACGTGTGTGTGTGTGTGTGCGTGTGTGCGCGTATATGTCATGTTCAGTCGATAAGGTTTAGCCGAAACTCTTGAGCATTTTACAAGACCAAATGGAATGGAATATCAGGCTTCGTAGCATACATATTTTCTTGTGTGTCATGGAGCAGCATAATTTTTATTCCTTCGATCGACTCTCTTCCACCACTCACTTCAGTCGAATTCAATCCGTTTTTCGAAACGAATCAACTGAGCCAAGGAATACAAAAAGAGCTCGCGCACAAAAGTAGCAGCAGCAGCAGCAACACAAAAAAGAACAACACGAAATAAGAAAGTAAAAACTTTTATTAAATCCACGATTTCAATTTACAAATGGATTCATCGGAACCTTATTATAGAGGAAATGGATTGCGTAGAACAAAAACAAATGACATGTCGAGAGAGGGAGAGAGAGAGAAAGGGAGAGGGAATGAAAGAGATATGAAAACATTCGCTATCAAATAGCGATAACGCTTGCAGGTATAGAACCAACGAAATAGAGCGTAGAGCGACGAAGTTAGCAGCAGAATGAAAAAAATAAAATAAAATAGTAAAACGTACAAAAGTTCAAATCAACCACATACACGAATTGGATACGAATCTGAACATGTGGAATAGAAGACACGGCACACACAAACAGAGAATATAGGATTATAAGTACATTTGGAGGTATAGAAATTCATTCCGCACGTAGGCTAGTCAAAATGCAAAAGAGAGGAAAAACAAATGCAAAAACAGAGAGGGAGAGAGGACCGAAAAGGACAATTTTTCTATATGGGAAAAAGGTGTACAAACACTGGTATTTTGCTGTCAAGAGGCGAACACGAGCTAGCTAGTGTGACGCATACACAATACTAGTTGACATTTTTTCCCACTAAAGAGACGACAACGTAAAATAAAAAAGAGAGAGAGAGAGAAAAAAAACCAAAAAGAAAACGAATGATTAACGCACACGCACGCAAATTGACATTACGATATATGTTTGGTAGTGAAAATGATCGGGCTGCTTTGCTGCTTTTATGTTGAATACTTTTGTTTTTTTTTTCTCTATCTCTCCCTCGAAAAAAAGGAGAAAGATAAATGCGCACCGAATGAGATATATCCCAAATTCAAGAACGACAACCAATTCGTCTTACATTGCTAAGCCTGACTTTTATGCATTCAACCAAAACAAATATTTATACCGGTATTGTAATCATTTGCAAATGCTGATGCGATTTGAATGAGAAGCTTTTTTGGTTTTTCTTTTTCTACTAAAATGATTACCTGAGCCTTCGGACCCTTTACCTGTGCAACAGCAAACATTCATTCCACCGTTCAAATAACATGACGATGAATTGTACCTTCGTTTTGGCCGGTCGATCATGACCCGGTTGGTTGACATGTCTCTCGAAAACATGGCGAGACACTATTGTCATTTTTCCAACGGAATGAACAAAACGACTAAACTAAAAATGATGCATAGCATTCATGATTGAGGATAGTGAATAAAATACTTCATCAATTTTTCTCTTCGTTTTATGGAATGTGCTAAAGAATTGATGAATGATATTGAGGACGCATGACAGGAGATGGAAGAAAATGAAAAAGAAATCTAAAAATTCCAAAGGGAATCCTAGAGATTCAAACAGAA